CGTCTCTGCGACTCGACTGGCAAACCGACGCCCTAGATTCAAGCCTGCCACGAGGCCCGACTTCTTGGTTTGCGTCCACAGCCCGAGTTGAAACATGTCGGCGGTAAGGGGCACCGCTAGCTCGAGCAACGGAATGTCCTGCGCATCATCTGTGATGAGCTGAACCGACACGTCATCGACAAGGGCTCTGAGATGAATAATGCGCGGGGAGATGCTGCCGATCCTCTTTCAGGCCCGCAGCGTTAGTATATATAAAAAAGCATGCCTGTGGCGTGGTTGCATCCTGCCAGGATGCCCTGCTGCGAGCAGAACGATTCGGAAGCGCTTCCAAAACATTTCAGTCTGCGCGGCTGTCGATGCGAATCATCTCGAAGCATTTCATCAGATCCAACAACACTGGCATCGAAAACTGTCCGACTAGCTCTGTCGTCTCGGACGCGATGTTATGCGCAAGCGCACTGCCGGTCGAGCTGCAACGGCGGCGAGTGCCCCAAACTTCTGGACAGTTGTGGCTCGCTTGCCACTCAAAGGTAATCGGCTTCCTGATTTCGCCCCGCACTCTGCAAAACAAAAAACAACTGATCAGTGCAGTCAGACGGTGCCCTCCTGCTGGCCTGGCCAACCTCGCTAACTCGTTTGTAACCTTTTCGGTCGACCAAGCCAGATGCTGCTCGCATGCTTTTTTAAAAATAACGCGCGATGGCTGCATAGGCGGCTCTAGGCAGGTGGATCAGGGCCCGCGGGTGCACCCCCATCGGACCTGTCGCAGTCCTGCTGGAATAGGAGTGGACCACGCGCCCTCCACCTGACCTGCCGCGATGGGAGGCGACGCGGGCCAGCTGGCATAATCAGCTGGGAGCTCGAGCTCCTAGGCCTCGTGATCGGTCCAAATATCAGTCAACTGAGCAAGCGCCCCATCTGCCAGCCGGCGCGGCTGCGCTGGGGCGCCTGCCGCCACCACTTCTCGCGCCGCGCGCATCTTGGAGAAGCGGCGCGCCAGCGGCGCGCCAGACCTGGAGGAGTTCCTGGCCCAAGCCAGCCAGGCATTGGCGGCAACTTTTTCAGCCCTCTGGACAGCCGCCTGGGCGCGACCGTACATGCCCACTGCTGCCGAAGCAAAATCCGCACGCGCAAGCGCGGCAAACCCAGCGAGAAAAAATGCGCGGGCGGCCTCATCGAGCCCCCCCTGGGTCTTTTTACAGCCAGCATTTTTTCATGAAGCGCGCGAACCCCACCAGATGAGAGAGAAGCTTGGCGCGCAACTCAGGCAGCTCTGGGCTCGATCGTTCAAAGCGTTGTAGCTAGCCAACCTGCGCAGTGAGAAGCTGCCTGCACTTCGTCGCATGCTTGATCCAAGTCAGCGCCGTCGCATATGCGCAGATGCCTTGGCAGACGGGCCTCTGCGCGCGCGGGGGGGGGGGCGTGCAAGTTTCCCCCGTCGGACCTCAGCGGGCCCGGCCCTGCCAACATAGACCCCACCACTGCGCCCGACCGCGCCCTGCCCCCCCGCCGGCCCCCGCCCCGCCCCATCGAGAACTCAATCCCAGAAGGCAGGCAGATCACTGGCAGCTTGAACTGTAGGCGCCACGACGTCAATGCCGCTGCGACATGGGAAGCATGGGAAACGGACGCAGCCTGCGGGGGGCACCGCTGGAAACTTGCGCGGCTCCTCTAAACGTGCGAGCCCAGATGCCATCCGCCCGATCGGCAATCTGCAAAGATACGGGTAAGTGCGAATGCGCGCGGGCCTCTTCTTGCACCTGCACCCCAGGCAGCAGAACAGGCGCCAGTCAACTGCTGGCCAGAAAATGATCATGCACCGACCCTGGCGCCGATTGGCGACGGGTGGCCACCGCAGGCGCGAGTGGGATGCCGCCTATGGCCTGGGCCCAGTCTGCTTGAAATGGCTCCGTGGGCGGCGCGATCCAGCCTGCTTATATGAGCCAGGCCACCTGTTGGCCGTTGAGACGCGCAAGAAACTCCGCCAATTGCCACGAGATGTCGGCGCTCTGGGGCCCATTCCCGCCGAGTCTTCAACGCAGATGAACGCAGCGCCGCCGATGCGAGAAGAACCGCGGCGCCCGCAGAGGTGGGGGGGGTCTCCACTTTCACAGGCGGGCGACCTTCAGCCCAGACATGGGAGGCCCCAGTAGAAGTAGACAACGCAATTTGCGGCGATGAACCTGCAATCGGCCCCCTCGCCGCGGAAACTGACGCCCATCCTGCGCTGCGGCTGGCCGCAACCGCCTCCAGCGATTCTCCCTCCCGCCCCGCTGGGCGAGCCCCCCCTGACCACGTGGGCGCGCCAACGTGGCCGGGCGGCCCCCCGGGGGGTGGGGGGCCTCGGCTTCCTCGGGCGGATGCGCCCCAGCCCAGGCAAGGGAGCGCGAAACTGAATGAGAGGAAGTAGAATCTGGGCCCACAAGATGCGGGCCGCCCTGGACATGTCCAACACGAGGTAGAACAGGATGATGCAGAACGTGGCCTGCTCCCGCTGACGCTATGCTCTGGGATCTGGAAAAAACGCCCCGCCTCCGCATTCAGGCCCCTCAGCTTGGCACCCCGGGCCCCAAGGGATCCAGCGTGGCATCGTCGAGGGACACGTGGATAATTCGTGAAATCTGCGGCCCAGTAGCAGGGGCCACCTCTGCGCAACGGCGCGACTGCAACATGACTGCTGCGACGAAGATAACCATCAACTTGACCGATGCGAGCAACCTACTGCTGATTACTCGCTCCAGTCCTGATGCGCTTGCAAGCCGCGAAGGTGACCTGCAAACGCCGCTTGAGCCATTCTCGCAATTCTGCCGCGCCAGTCTCTTCCTCACCTTCCTTGGGCGCCTGCAGGCCGCCAGCGCCGCAAGCCTCCAGATGGGCACGCGCCGTGGCTGCGCCCGCGCTGTCGACGCGGTCAGCCGCGTGCTCTTGCAAGCTGTCCGCCCACCTGCATGGGCTGAGGCTGAGCGAGAGGCGCGGAAGTGCCCGAAGCCTCGCCGGCGGGGGTCTCATCTGGAGGCTGCGGCGCTGGGGCCGGGACTTCCTTGAGCCGCCTGACCGCGTTCGCCACGGCCACGAGATCAGAATCAAAATCAGAAGAACCTCCCAGCGCCTTGAGCACCGCATCGAACTGCTGCACAGCGGCCTCGAGCCCTGGAACGATGGCGCGGAGGGAGGGCTTGCCCCCCCACCCACCCCCACATCCCCCCCCCCACACACACACACACACACACACACACACACACACACACACACACACACACACACACACACACACACACACACACACACACACACACACACACACACACACACACACACACACACACACACACACACACACACACACACACACACACACACGCACACACACACACACACACGCACACGCACACGCACACGCACACGCACACGCAGGCACAGTGGGGATGGCCGCCTGCCGCAGTTGCTCCTCGAGCTCCATGATACTCTGCTCCGACTGCCTTATCAGACTGCACCTGCTCGACCACTTTCTTAGCAACATCCACCGCTGCTTGGGCCTGCTCCACCTTTGTGACCAGGGACGCATGCTTGGCACGAGCACTCCGTAGCCTGCTGTTGAGACTGGCAACATTGACATCCTGCGGTTTCTCAGCTGCCAGCTCGGCCAACAAGCGCTCCTTCTCGGCGAGATACTGGTTGCGAGTCGTCTGGTCGGAGTCGTCGAGCACTGCGATAATGCGCCCCCGCGCGGGCACGCTGAGGATTGGACGTGTCATCAGTCTTGTGCCAACGAGGCGGCGCTGCTGGGCTTGCAGGCGGCGGCACGTCCAACTTGGCCATCTGTTGCTGCAGCTCGGCGACTTGGTTCGTGAGGGCCTCCTCTCGAGCCGAGACAAGGGTGTCAGCGCGCTTGACAGGAGCCTCAGGCGGCGGGACTCCCTTGAACGCTGGCCCTTTGGGTAGCCCACACATGGCACACGACTTCTTATCCGCACGATTGATCCATGGCGTGCCACTGGGCTTGTGCGTGCACCACTTGCAGTACCAGGGATCAGCCTGGGCGGCCCGCCGCAAGGGGGCCATACTGCACGCGAGAGAAGGGCACGCGCCAACCACAATGGGAACGTGACGTGGAATGCCACCCGCAATGAAGCGAGTGGTCCGTGAAAACAAGACCCGCGGGGGGGGGCAAAACCTCTCTATAAGCCACCTCGAGATGTTGGATTACTTGAGCCACAATGGCTTGAGCCAAAATGGATTGAGCCAAAAGGGCTACGGAAGAGGAGGAGGGAAAGGAGGAGGAGGAGCAGGAGGAGCATGAGGGATGATGATGAGGAGGAGGTGGAGGAGGAGGAGGAGGAGAAGGATGAGGAGAAGGAGGTGCAGGAGGAGCAGGAGGAGCAGGCAGGAGGAGGATAATGCCTGGGAATGAAAGGGTCCGGACTTCTGGGCCCCAGGATTGGAAACAACAAGACATCGCATTCGCGTCTTGGGGAGCCACCCTGGTGACGGGCACCCCTCCCAGCGAAGCCCTGTGGTGGGCGCGCCAAAATAGGGAGTCGAACAGGGCAGGGCTGCTCGGTAAACGCCGAAGACATTGGGCGCTCGGTTGCGGGAGGGGCTATCAACGGGGGGGGTCGAGGATAGCAGGAAAGTGGCTCAAGGGGCCCTAAACTGCCACTACGGGCCCTACAAATGCTTGTGCTCCCCCCCCGCTAACGAACGCCCGAGAGAGAGAGAGAGAGGGAGGGAGGGAGGGAGAGAGAGAGAGAGAGCAGTGTTGTCCGCCCAGGGCTGTTCAGCAAGCGGGAGTTATGGGGGTCGGGGTGGTTTCCCCCCTGTTCCTGGAGGAGGGTTGGGGGAGGAGGAGGAGGAGGAGGAGGAGGAGGAGGAGGAGGAGGAGGAGGAGGAAGAGGAGCAGGAGGAGGAAAAGGAGGAGAAGGAGGAGGAGGACCAGGAGGAGGAGGAAAAGGAGGAGGAAAAGGAGAAGGAGGAGGAGGAGGAGGAGGAGGAGGGGGATCCTTATCCGCGGCGAAGAGGCTGTCTGCGCGTACGCCGCTGGCGGCAATCAGCTTGCCCAGCGTGCTGGTGCGGTGGAGCAGGGTTGCAGACATCTCCGGAGAGCGGGGGCGGCCCGGGGCTCTGTGTGGCGGCTCTGGTGGCCGCGGTGCCTGCAACGTGTGGCGGGCACCCGAAGCTTGAGCCAAAGTGGAGGCGTGGGAAAGCCAGGCGGACAAGGAGCAGGAAGACCAGGAGCAGGAAGAGCAAGAGCAGGAGAGGGAGAAGCGCGAGGAGCACGAGGAGAACCGAGATGGCGAGAATGAGGACGACGAGTGCGCCAACGTGGCAGAACGCAGTTTGAGAAAAGGTTCGCGATTTAACTGACAGCCCCTTGTGGGGTAACCCTGGTCGTCCTGGGGCTTTCTTGGGGCCTCTCGGGGCCCTCGTGGGCTGCGTCAAGGCAATCTTCGGGGCTTCTTGGGCTGTTTTGGAGCGTCGGAAAAGCAAAACAGTGCTTTTGCTTGAAACGCACGCTTTCCCGAAGGAATTACTTGAAGGCATCTTGGTAGGCCTGTTGGAGGCCTCTTGAAGCGTCTTGGAGCGTTCTGAAGCCGCTTCGGGGCCATCTTGGGAGTCTTGGGGCGATGTTTGGGTGGCTCTGGGCTCCATTGGGCCGTCTTGGAGGCCTCGGTCAGCACGTTTCGAGACTGCCTTGGGCCGTCTGTGAGCGTTCCCGGAGGCCCTGTCCCACCGTGCCCCTCCGTGGTCCCTGGGTCTGGCCAGTGGGCCTCGCCTTCTGGACTTGAATCCGCCGACCCCGCAGGCGCGTGAGGGAAAGTGCGGAATACGATCGCCAATCCAGGTCAGTAGCGCAAGCACAAGGGCAAAAGACACTGCATGACCAGAACTGCCTGAACCTTCATGGGCACTGCATTTTGTTATCATCGCCGTCGTGTCCCTGCCCGTCTTCCTCCTGTGATGCTCAGTCCCCATAGTATGCAGACGCACGCCCCCATTCACAGGGTGCCCAGCACAACAGATCGCAGGCACCCGAACACTTCTCCCCACCCACCACAGGCGCAAGCGCAGTGGGACCTATACTCTCTCTGGCCCGAAGGGTCGTTCGACACAGGCAGACTCCTTGAAACCAGGCTGGCCGCCTTTTCACCCGAGCCGAGCACGCACGTGCACAAGGCCGAGGAGCCAAGCTTCTCACTGTGCAGCGCCCTGCTGCTTCGCGCTCGCCAGTCACGGCACGGCAAAAAGGTGGCGACACGCGAACCCTACGTACCCCCACGAATCGCCGATTCTCCTGGATCGATGGTAGGCGGGGGTAGGGTTCAGATTTCGCCACGTCGTGCTCGACGGATTCTGAGCCCTACCCCCGCCGCCCGTCGAGTTACCATCGTTGACCGGCGAGGGTAGGGTTCGGATTTCGCGGCCGAACGGCAGGGCAGTCAACTTCATCGAGCGCAAGGCATAACTCCTTTTTTAGAACATCCTCGTCCGCGGCAGACAATTTCCACGGGGCCGAGCCTGCTGAAACCATCCACGACTCGTCCAATCCTTGTGCCGAGCAGTCGCCCGATGGGCGCACAAATAATGAGAAGAAAAAGAGGCGCACGCGCGCGCTGCGGGAAGTCTGTGAGCCGGGAATTACTCCTACGTGCCAAGGAACTTCGGATCGTGACCCGATTACCCATGAAACTTTCGAGACCCGTCCCGCCGAAGATGCCCTCGGCGTACATAAGATTCGCAGCCACTCCGCTGCCCCCTCGGCCACCGACGGTGCCGGGCAGCCTTCCGTGCTGACTCAGAGCTTGTCCAGGTAGTCGTGGAGGGCGGGGATTTCGACCTTGATGTTCTTGCGCTTTCGAACGGCCAGGACCAGCTCATTCATCTTGCTCCCCACCTCCATGGCATTACCTGGCATGTTCTCCCAGTGATCGAAGACGCACTGGGGGAAAGCCTGACCCGAGGTCGCCTGCCGCAACGCAGAGACGAAGCCGAAGGACTCCGACACCGGCAGGTACGCCTTGACCTGGATGAGCGGCGTGCCCTCGCGAGGGTTCTCCTCGAACACGCAGCCGCGGCGCAGGTTCATGCAGTTGTACACGCCGCTCATGGCCTCCTGGGGGCACGTGATCTCCACGAGGAAAACGGGCTCCTGCAGCGTCGGCTTGCCGAGCATCTCCGCCGCGAAGCACGCGCGGCGCGTGGGCGGCATGATCTGCCCTGCGCCGCGGTGGATGGAGTCGGTGTGCAGGGTGCAGTCTGTGAGGTTGAAGCGGATGCCGCGCATGTTCTCCTCGCACAGGGGGCCCTCCTTGGTGGCCCACTGGAAGGCGCTGTTGACGTGCTCCTTGATTTCCAGGAGGTACTGGATTGCCTGCGTGACGTCGACGACGACGTTGGCGCCCTCGGTCTCTGGACCCCAGCACCAAATCTTGCGCGCCGCAGACTCGTCCCAGTCGTACTTCTCACGGAAAACTTTGGCGCGCTCCTTCGCGTCCGCCTTGGGGCCGAGCTTGCCGTCCTCGATGTCCTTGCTGATCTCTTCCGCCATCGGCTCCGCCTCCAGGTAGATGCGGTTGTGCTTGTTCGGCGACTTGGCCAGGGCCGTCTGCGTGGACGTCTCGGAGACGGTCTCGCGGTAGGAGACGACGGGGTCGGAGACGATGAAGTCACACTGTGCGTACTCCTCCCGGAGGTCCTTGAGGCAGATCTCGACGTGCAGCTCGCCGCAGCCAGCGATCACGTGCTCCCCGCTCTCCTCGGTCGTGCAGACAACCAGCGGGTCAGACTTGGAGAGCTTCTTGAGACCCTCGACAAGCTTGGGCAGGTCCTTGCCATCCTTCACCTTCACGGCCACCTTGACCACGGGCGACACGCTGTACTTCATGTCGGCGATGTTGTGGGCGTCCTCGATGGTGGTGATGGTCCCTGACTTCAGGAGGTACTGGTCCACACCCACCAGGGCCACGGTGTTGCCGCAAGGCACATCGGCGATCTGCTCGACCGACCTGCCCATCATCAGCACGGTGCGCTGGATGCTCTTAACGTTGAGATCCTCCTTGCTTCCTGGCGTATAGTGCGGGCCCTGGATTCGCACCTTTTGCCCGGTCGCGATGGTGCCGCTGAAGACGCGGCCGAAGGCGTGGAATCGGCCCTTGTCGCTGGTGGGCACCATCTTGGACACGTACATCATCAGCCCTCCATCTTTGTCGCAGGCGCGGATTGCGTTCGCCGCTGCGTCGTCCATGGGTCCCTCGTACAGATTCTCCACGCGGTACTTCTGCGCCTGACGAGGCGACGGCAGCTTGGAGACGATCATGTTGAGGAGGGTGTCGGCTGCGTTGATCCAAATCTGCATCGAGCGCTTCATCAGGGGCTTGCCTGTCAGGGCCCTGTCGTCGCCCTTGAGGACGATGCCGAGCGTCTCCATCATCTTCGAGTACTTGTCCTTCTGGTCGTCCATGATCGCACGCATCAGCTGGTTGATCGGGGTCATGATGAACTGGCAGAAGGCTCGAGGCAAAGGCTTGTCGCACCCCTCGGGCTGCATGACGTTGGTCCAAGTCTTCTTCTTGGCGTTGAAGAAGGACTCGCCCCACAGGCGCTTCATCATCTTGTCCTTGTCAACGCCCATCTTCGCGGCGTAGATCTTCGCGAACCGCTCCACGTTGAACCCCCATCCATGCAGGCCGCTCCCGAAGGCCACCGTGCCCTTGTCAGGGTTCACCTGGTTGTCTCCCATCAACTCGTCGTTGTATGTTGCAATGATCACGTTCACATCCTCGATTGCCTTGCGGAAACGCTGATACATGTCCTCGGGCTCCATCTGCAACTCCAGAATGCAGCGGTCCACCTTGTTCACAAACAAGCACGGCTTCACGCGCTCCGCCAGGGCCTGGCGCAGCACGGTCTCCGTCTGCACCGCGCAGCCCTCGATGCAATCGACGACGACCATGGCGCCGTCGGTGATGCGGAGGGCGGCCGTGACCTCAGAAGAGAAATCCACGTGGCCAGGGGAATCGATGAGGTTGATCAGATGCGGCTTGGCGCCCTTGCCATCGTCATCATCATATTCGAAGTACAGAGAGACTCCAGTGCTTTTGATGGTCACGCCACGCTCCTGCTCGTCTGCTCTCGTGTCAGTGAAGCGTGCATCGCCTGCTGCTTTCGCAGAGATGATGCCAGCCTTGCAGATGAGCGAATCCGTCAGCGTGGACTTCCCGTGGTCCACGTGTGCGATGACAGACATGGAACGGATCGAGTCCGTCGCGTCCATGATGGTCCGGATCTGCTCCGTTGTGAAGTTCGGCATTGCTGCAGCACGCCAGAGGCTCAGAAGCCCGTCAAGGGAACCCTGTGTGCCGCCAGGCCGTGGAGCTGAACCTCCGACTCAAAATGGCTGTGGACGTCAGCATGTTCCTTCTCATCCTAAGCCTCCTCCTGTGCCTCTCCTCCTCTTGATTGCTGCTACCTTTGCCAATCCGACGATGGACCACCCGCCTCCGCTTCCTGCGCGTCACGTCACGTCCTGGCATCATGCACACGTCGGCTGGGGGTCTTTCCTGTCGCTTCTCTGCTGCGCAGAGACGCAACAGCCGCAGGCAAGTCGCCGGAACTCTGAGAGCCAGCTGAGGATCAAGAGGCTCCCAAGTGGCCCGCCAGGGGCTTCCAGGAGGCCCCCCGGGAGGCCTCCAAGAGTCCTGTGGTCCACGACCCAGGCATGCCGGTGGGACTGATGGGCCAACTTTCCACCACCATTAGCATAGGTGGGACGGGGGAGAAGGGAGGATGGAGAGGTCCTCCTCCTCCTCCTCCTCCTCCTCTTTCTCCCTCTCCTGCCTGTAGTAGTGGTGGTGGTGGTGGTGGTGGTGGTGGTGGTGGTGGTGGTGGTGGTGGTGGTGGAGACTCGGCCCATCAGGGATGGGGCCGTGCCCCCACAGTTGGCCCGATGATCGCGTGGCTTGCCGAGTGCTGCTGCACTTGCTGCTCCTTCCACAAGGTTGCGGGGTGGCCTGCGGCCCGCGCTGCTCTCCGCGCAGGCACCGAGATGTTCCGCGTGGCCCCCGACATGGCCCCACATGGCCGACCTCGGAACCCC